ACTGACTGGCACACCGACATACATACAGACACACAAACTGACACACACAGACATACTGACATACACACAGACATACATACTGACACACAGACATATACTGACTGACACATACATACTGACACACACACAGACATACTGACACACACAAAGACATACATACTGACACACACACATACATACAAACTGACACACAGACATACAAACTGACACACAGACAGACATACATACTGACGCACACACAAACAGACACTCTTCAGTTTCATACCTTTGAAAGAGGCTACCTTCCCTCGGGTCCAGTGTGCTGGCTGGGGTAGTTGGGAGTTGGGGGTCTGGCTATTCTTGCTCCCCCTCCTCACTGGATGCTGGCTCAGCAGCCTCCCGGGTGGCCCGATGTCTTTGAGGCGGGAGGAAGTGATTCGCGGACGTCACTTCCTCCCATGCAGCCGTTAAGCAAGGACCCGGTCGCGTTGTTAAAGGGCCACAGCGCCGACCGGACCCCTGCTGGTCATACCATTCCCTTTTCTGCCTTTTGTTTGCTGTGTTACATAATGTTACAACAGGAGTAGTGATTTTTAATGACACATGTACAGCTTGTAAGAAGGCAGTTGTATTAACACATGTGGACGGAATAGGTGTGTGTGTGTCGTTGTTGACTTTTGGTTCTATGGTAGAGGATAAAGGACAGTAATAAGGTGTAAAAATATAAGGTAGTGTACAGTTCTCAATCGCAGTGTCGTTCATAATGACTAACATTTGTCCCCTTTTCCAATTAATGGTACCAGTTGTATAATCATTATTAAAAGTAATAAGGCCTGTCTGTTTACATTGATATGCAACCTTACTAATTTTCTTATATGTCCCAAACCTGTTGAGGTGTTTTTTTCTTACCATCAGAACCTATATTAAATAAGGTGGAACAGATACTAGTGTAATTAGCAACCTTAACTGTGCACATTTCTGCGTTATAAGATCTAACAATTTTCTGTGAACCTTAAAACAAACATAATGCATCGGTTTCATTAGCTGTGGACACATTCCATATGGGCAACTGGTACTTATAAGGGTTATTATTTATCCAGTTCATCCATATGTGTTCAGTCAATGAGTGCTTGCATATTACATGCTGATAGATAGGTGGTGGAGAAAGGTTCTTGAGGGAGCGTGTGTGACGAATGCTAGATGAGGGGCTAAGGCCTAATTGGGCTGGGGGTATTGAAGAATTGTTCATTGTGTCAGAGTCTTTTCTCCAGAAACAAACAGGTTTCAAACTTCCCATTGACTTGTACTCATAATGGCATTCAAGGAACAATATCAGAGGGAGCATAACAACGCCAGAAAGCATAATCTTGGTCTCAGGGTCGTATGATCCTCTCAATCTACGATATGGTGTGAAAGCCATGATGCTTCGCTAAGGGGAAATTCTTCTGTTTCCGAGTGAGGAGTGGTGTTGTCTTCCTTGGTTTCCCTCTTTGGACACAGTTTCACTCGGGATGCGTGAATCCAGATGTCGTGGGAATCTGTGAGGACAGCGGTTCTGGTTACAGCAATCACAGTAGCAGGTGGTCCGAAAGGATATCCTCCTTTCTTGGTCCTGTTCAGCTGACGGATATACACCTTGTCACCGGGCTGGTATGGATGAGTAGGTTCCTGTGAAGTTAAGGGAAACTGCGAAGAAACATTGCCATTTATACCATTCAGTTTATCAACGATTCCTGTACATATTGTTCTTGTATTAGCTGTAAATCCCCAGACATTATAACAAGCGGTTCCCTGGCCCAGGGTGTGGGAAAAGGTTGTCCCATCAGAATCTCAAATGGAGATAATTTAGTCACCTAAAATAGCTGGAAGATATTTTGTCCAATTTACCAATGTTCCTGCAGTAGCTTTCATAAGCTTCTCCTAATAGTCCTATTCATCCTTTCTACTACCCCTGGACTCTGTGGATAATAGGGTATATGAAACTTCCAGGTAACTTGCAAGAATTTAGCAAGTTCCTGGGTAACCTTACTGGCAAAAGCCGGGCCATTATCAGAGTTAATCTGCAGAGGGCAGCCATACCTGGGAATAATTTCAGTAGCAAGAATCTTCACTACCGTCCTAGCATCCTCCCTAGATGTCACAAAGGCCTCGGGCCATCTACTAAGCTGATCAACTATGACCAGTAAGTATTGCTGTTTCTTACCAATTTTGGGTACATGAGTAAAATCAATCTGTAAGTGTGTAAAAGGAGCAGCTGGAGGGGGCAAATGTTCGTGCTGTGATTTGTGTGGAATATTAGGATGTGTTCTCATACATGGTTCACATGATCTTACAAAAGACTGTACATGCTGCCTGAGATTCCTAATATAAAATGAATTCATGAGGAATTGGATGGTGCTTGCCATGCTTTTGTGAACTGGGACCATGTGCCAGACTGATGAAAATAAAGCAGCTGGCTTCTGGTATGCCTATTCTCCCCTCTTTAGAGAAAAGATCATTCTGATCTTTTTCTAAACCTTGTTTAATCCAAAAAATCAAAGTCAGTTTGCGTTGCAGAGGCTTGGAGCTGCAAAAGCAAACTGTCAGTAGGGCATGTGGGAGGTGTGAGCATAGCAGGAAACATTTCATAGTAAAGAGTCTCGGCTGCAAATTCTTTTGCCACTTTGTCAGCCAAGGCATTACCTCTGGAAATGTCGTCACTACCCAGAGTGTGTGCCTTGTAGTGGATAACAGCTACTTCAGATGGGAGTAGGATAGCATCTAGGAGTGATTGGATGAGATTTGTGTGTGAAATGGCTTATCCATCGGCTCCTACAAAGCCTCTTTGTTTCCAAATCACACCAAAATCATGCACTACCCCATGAGCATATCGTGAGTTTGTGTAAATGTTCACTTGCTGTCGTGAGAAAAGCTGACAGGCACATGTGAGAGCAATGAGTTCTGCAGCTTGTGCAGACGGCTGGAAAATAGTGTCAGCTTCAATGATTTTATCAGGTAGCTGTACCACGGCATAGCCTGGGAGGTACGTACCGTCATTTGGTCTGGAGCAAGAGCCATCCACAAAGACAGTGGTCACATCCGAGCATGCAAAACAGACATAGGACCAGAATTAACAGGACTATAGACAATAGACAGATTCTGGGTATTAAGAAGAATAATCTCATAACCACTTAAGCGCTGGGCTGTCATGTGTTGTGTGGTGAGATTTTTTACCAGCTGAGTGACCTGGTGACTGGTATGGAGTATTGTAGGATGCCCTAGTGTGATAGTAGTAGCAGTCTCAACAGCCATTGCACATGCTGCCAATGCTCTGAGACACGCCGGCATACCCTGTACCGGAGCTGGAACTACTTTGGAAAAGAATGCTATGGGACGCATACCGCCTCCGTGCTCTTGTTCACAGACCGCGGCCATGGTTTTACAGTTGTCCTGAGCATACAAATGAAATGGTTTACAATACGCAGGTAGTCCTAAAGCCGGGGCTTGCACAATAGCAACTTTAAGGGCAATATACGCAGCTAGCATGTCTGGTGACCAGAAGACATTTTCAGGGCTGTCAGAACGTGCAGCCTCCCTTAGGATTGAGTCATAATGGGAGCATTCAGGGATCCATTGGCGGCAGTAATTAATCATGCCGAGGAAGGTGAGCAACTCCTTCCGAGTAGTGGGTTTAGGAATCCTCTGAATGACCTCAATACATTTTGGACTCAATTGTCTGGTGCCTGAAGCCAGAACAAAACCTAAGTAATCAACCTTTGATTTACACAATTGCATTTTGTGTTTTGCAACCTTGTGACCCACAGCTGCTAAGTGTTTGAGCAAACTGACAGTATCCACAGTGCTTGCCTTATAGCGAGGGCTACATAACAACAAATCATCAACATATTGCAAAAGGACGGAACCATCACCAGGGGTCCATGTTTTTAGAGTAATGTTGGAGTACCAGCAAATAAACGGCTGGGGTAAGCGTGTCCTGGTATACTGACAGCCTTCAAAAGTAAAAGCCATAAGTAGCTGTGTCTCTTGATCAATAGGTATAGAAAAAATGCATTACTTAAATCAATGACAGTGAAGCAAGTGGCATCATGTGGAATGGCTGTAATGAGGCATATCACATTAGGGACAATGGGTGCAATGGGCACAATTAAACTATTCAGGGCTCTAAAGTCCTGAACTAAGCGATAACCATTACCTTTAGGAACTGGATTAATAGGTGTGTTATATGGGGAAACTACTGGCTTTAGTATTCCCTGCTCTAGAAAAGATTGGATCATGGGGCGAACTCCCTCAACCTTGGCTTCTGACAGGGGGTACTGTTTAAGGTAGATAGGAGTTACATCTGGTTTTAGTTTGACTTTGTAAGGGGTGCAGTTGACAAATCCTACATCTAACTTAGATGAAGCCCACACAGAGGAAGGAACATCAGACAAATCAATAGTTTCAGAACACAACATAGACACATCAATACCACCAGAGGATGTGCAAGTAATGGTAGCTCCCAGAATACCAAGAAGATCCCTTCCCAGCAAACTAACAGGACATTTAGGTATTAGACGAAAAGGGTGCACAGTAGAAGAACCATTAAGAGGACAGAAAACAGACAGTGGTGATGTGACAAAAGTGGGTGTTGACACTCCATTAATACCCAATGAAGGTGTAGACTTTTCCCTTGTCCCCTGATAATAGGTGTCACAGAGACTGGAACACGTAGCTCCAGTATCTACCAAAAATGGCAAGGATCTACCTTCTATGACCAGAATGCAAAAAGGCTGATCATCATTAGTAGAGGACAAAAGTGGAAAAGTTGGAGTGTCACCTTCAAGGCAGTTTGGGTTTGCTGGAGCGAGGGGAGAGGGGGAAGTGCTGGCCAGTGTTGGGAGTGGGCCTGGTGTTGTTCTTGCCTACCGGGCGTATTTTGAGCATTGTGGGGTTGTTGGGGCTGCTGGGGTTTCCTGGGGTGTGAACACTCATTTTTGTGGCCACAGTTGAAACAAGTGTTCCTGTCTATTCCTCCTATAACCCTGACACACACACACACAGACATAGTGACACACACACAGACATACTGACACACACACACACACACAGACATACTGACACACACACACACACACAGACATACACACACACACAGACATACTGACACACAGACAGACCTACTGACATACATTTAGCCACCCTCCAGGTTCTTACCTTTTCCTGGAGGATGGTTTCCCTGGTCCAGTGGCAGGCTGAGGCAGATGGGAGTACTCCTCTGGAACTCCCCTCCTCCCTGCCTTCCTCCTCCCGCGCGGCCATTATCTCCAGTGGGAGGAAGTGACGTCACTTCCTCCCAGCCAGCTGGAGAACCGGAAGAGGGGCCCGGTCGCGCTGTTTAAGCGCCAAAGGCGGCCGACCGGGCCCCTGCTGACACATGCTCCCCGGGTGGCCCTTAGTGCATGGGCCACCCGGGGAGCCTCCTCAGTGTGCGGGAGCCGCACCGCCCGGTCCATAGGGGCTGCGCAAATCGCGGGGCCCACAGAGCAGCTGGGCCCGGGGCAGCTGCCCCGTTTGCCCCGCGTTAAAGACGGCCCTGGCTCTATGTGCTCCATCCCATCCTCTCTCTCGGGCCTGTGTAGGTGGACAGTGTTGCAGTCCCTGAGCACAATAAGCAACCTTACTTCCTGAATCTTTTCTTAAGTCAAAACAACCTGCATTTTTCTTCTCTATAACCTTGGTAAGAAAATCTGAGCCACCCAAATTGACCCAGTCTGAAATCAACTGTTTCACAAGCAAAGAATACTGTGGCAACATATTACCAAGGCATAACTGTATTTTAAGGAGATCCATATCATCTCAAAGACTTCAAACCTGCCTCATCCTTCCAAAAGTTGTAAAATCTCTTTACAAAAATACCAATCTCTTCCTTTGCACCTTGCTTACATGCCAAAGCAGTGGATATAGACTGCTTATTAATAATTTGAGAGAAAAAGTACAAGTAAACCCAGAGGATACAGTAAATCTAAGTAGTATACCAACAGGTTTCTAGTACAGTTAGAGTATAAAATATAACTTTTAATTATGAAATATATAAAAGAAAGCACAGTCACTATGAGAAAATAAATAGGAGGGCCCAAGACTTGTCACTTTTATCGAATAGTGGCACAGGTGATGCAGGGAGTCCCTTGGAAGAGCCGACACTCGGCAAAACGCGCGTCGGTACAAGTTTAGTTGAGGGTGAAGGAGTTAGACAGGGACGATGCTGCAGCTGTTATTTTCCTCCTAGTTTAGCCACCCTCGTTATTTATGCTAGATAGACTCTATTTTAGATAGTTAGTAAGTAAGCTTTTCTACGTTCGACCTTATTAGCTTATTACTTGGGAGCTGGGTTCATTTTTGCCACTACGGTGATACTGGGTGATAGGAGTGTGGTGGTGATACTGGGCTATTATTTTCAGACCACACTTTAACCCCCTAATCCCCGCATCACCTGTGCCACTATTCGATAAAAGTGACAAGTCTTGGGCAAATACCCTTCTTGTGTTTTCTTTCCCTCCTAACTATTTATTTATTTTTCTCATAGTGACTGTGCTTTCTTTTATATATTTTATAATTAAAAGTTATATTTTATCAGCTTATGGGCTGCTCTAACTGTACTAGAAACCTGTTGGTATACTACTTAGATTCACTGTATCCTCTGGGTTTACTTGTACTTTTTCTCTCAAGTTGTTATTCCAGTAGGGGTTACCCCCCCTTTCCACTTTAGCAACCTGACACACTCTCTCTATCTTTTTCTTTATATAGACTGCTTATTCTTCCATAATCTCAACATTTCAGCTTCCACCTCGTCCCACATTTTAGCACATCCTGCTAAAGTACTAAACTCATAAACACCATCACTACCAGCCTCTCCAACTCCAGTACCGTTGTCTGTCTCACTGATAGAGGGTACCCTAGACCAATCCCAACCAGAATCTGAGTCATACCCTAATATTCCATTTATAATTAACCGTATGTCTATCTGTGTCATGTTCTGTCCTAAACACATTATTTTCAGATACATAAGGCATGCAGAGGGATTAGTAAGGGGGTTTGGGGCACCTTGAATAATGTCCTTGAGTACTCCGGGATTAATGGGTTTCATTATTAACTGATTACCAACAGTCATGAACGGGGCAGGAAGATCAGCACCTTCTAATTCTGGCATCTCTACATGATCATCACCTTGCTTATGTACATATGATTTTAACACCTTGCCACTTTTAAGTTTAACTCCCATTTGTACTGTTAATTTAATTGTACCGAGAGGTGGCGGTGGATATTCTATATCAGAATCTGGTGTAGATGATGATTCCTGTAATTGCTGTGATTGTGAATTAACAGCTGCAGCAATACAAATATCTTCTATATCATCCTCTGAGGGGGCATTAGGTACAGCAGGATACATTGCTTTATAGGAAGGTGGGGGTTGTGGTTGGGCATGGCCGGGGGTTAACTGGGTAGGGGCACAATTGGTGGTGGATATAGATTTTCAGGAGGGGCTTCTATGGGAAAGCAGATGGTATTACTGTCAACAGTTCCCTTTCTCTTAGCCAGGTCTTTCTTAGCTCTCTTTAAAACCTTTCCTGTTACACTACAAGGAAACCAATGAGGGGCTATCTGCAACCAATTTTCACCTCCTGCTTTCATATATTCCTTATCCCAGTCTGGATCAGGACCATACCACGGCCATGACTTCCTATCTCCCAAACACAATCCTTGAATCATATTCATATGGAAATCATCATTAGCCCCACACCTGGGAAAAGGATCAGATGACTTCATAGTCTCTGTCCATCCTGCTAAATTTGACACAAAGGGGATTGTAATAAATCCTCCTTGTGTTCCTATTCTAGTAACATAATTTAGACATGACTCCCCTGGAAATAGACTGATTATTTCCCATATTTCTGGCTCAGGGTAGAGACACTACCTACTTACCAATAGTGTGTCTCTACTTAACAAGCAAAATAAACACAAAAAAGACACAGGGTGACCAGAGGAACGAGAAGTTTGGGTTATTCTAGATCTATAAACCGTGTTTCCTAGAACACCTATAGTCTTAATAAACCGGAGACTCCTTTATAGTCTCAAAACCTGTATCTACCCGAGATACCCAGTATCTATCTTAGATACTAACCTGGGTTACCAAGAACCCTATACTAGACCAACTGTCCAGTAAAAACCGGAGACCTATTTACAGTCTCAATATAACTAAAGTCCTTACACCTTTCCTATCTACTGGATACAGACTTACTGAACCAAAGGGGGTCATAGACAATCAGCGTCAATAAGACACAAAAAGGCTACTTACATACAAAGGTCCTGCTGTAATCCCACTTCTGAACACCAAGCTGAAAGGTTTAATGCTGTTCTGGACTCAACTCCCCTCGATTCTCGATTCTCCGGTCACCATATCAATTGACGGGAGTTCTTGTTTAGCAAATTAAGACGTAGACACGAAAGAGTGCTTAACAAGTTCTCAGTGAGTATATTTTCAGGGCTAGCATTTATACATAGTTTGTCACGCAAGCAGCGAGATTTATCGTTTCCTTGTAGTTAATAGTACATACTTGACTGACGTTAAAAGATAAGCATTTGAATAAAGATGGGACAGGAACATCCTGAGGTCGAGCGAGGTTATACATCCTGTAGAAGGGAGGCCTCTCAAAGCATGTTATGGAATACTTCTGCCAAGGTCAGCATAATTATTTCAAACATTATTTTAAAGCAAATAAAGCAAAAAGAGTTAACTTACACCTCCCTCCCTGCCTATCTTTGATCTCTCTCACCGGCCCACGGCAGCACAGACACACCCGCACACCCCGTGCGCACGTCTATGGTGACATGGATTATGAAATCCTTTACTTACCATATCCAGCTACATATGTACATCTGTTATTTATACATTCGAATTAGCAAAAATGGCAAACTAATGTGGGTATATTCCTACTGCACCTAAATTCCATGCAAGATGACACAAAACCAAACGGTGTAAAAACAAAAGTGTGCTTGAAACATGGCACAATCAATGATATTCCAGGTAAGTTTATTTCTTTCTTTACAGAGTTTTGTAGAATATTGCATATTCTATGTTTCTATTGATTATGTATGGATGTCTGGATTGACATAAGTAACAGGTGGTTTCACAGCCACAAGGCTTTGTCTGAGAAATCTGGGATGTGGATTGGGGGTCTTGTCCTTATATTGCTAGGGCTATATGTTTATTTTCCTTGTCTGACACCATTTCTAAAACAGCTGTTTTTTTCCAGTGTTATTTCTACTTTGTGATAATCACCAGAGGGTACTCTATAACAGCCATGATCCCAGGGCATTGTGCACAGCCATCCTGAAGGACGTTACGGGGAGGGCCACTGTTGGAACGCATAACAACGCAAGGAGGAACACATCTTACTTCTGGTTACACTTATGAACATATGAGCAACAGCTGAGTTAAACTAAGGAATTTTATATCGACGGGACAGGTGATCAAGGTGAGGAAGAGTCCAATAGGAAATAAGAAGACGCCCATGGGACTACCAATGAACTCAGGGATTTGCCCTATTTAGGGAGACTTGAAGGTAGGGGTTGTTATGCTGCCTTTTTGTGGCATTTTGTCATTCTGTGATTTGTTTTTGTTGTATGGTCCCTAAGGAAATCCTATTTTTAAGAACGAAACGCATAGGACCGACCATATTCTTATTATTTATTTTAAATAATTTGTATGCTGTATCCAATAAAAGCTGGGGTTTTTTAACTGACCACCCGAAGTCCTGTATCTTAGTGGTGAATGTCCAGGGAAGTGGACAACAGCCCCCCGCCACCATCTGTGGAGGCACCTTATGAACGCACAATTACGCTACTTTCACACGTAATCTTGTTATGTGGATTTATACATTTGTACATACTTTGGTTGATGTGAGATCGCCGACTGGGGGTAATGTTAGGGCGGCTGATCACTTTACATTTGGAGGAGTATAACTTTGTTATCACCATTTTATTATATATTTGGTGAAAGTGTACCACAATTTATAGAACCATTGTGTTTTCGAATCTTCTACTAATAATATATTTGTTTCATTTTGTTAGGATTCTTCAAACACATGCTTTTAGCATATTTTTTTTTAACAAATTATCTGTGTGCATACTGCAATTTATATGCAACATAGACAACAGGTATAGTGTTGGTGTGGGAGTGTAACTGTCATGATCTTGATCAGGTCGGGTAAGAGGCTTATGACAGGGTTAACATTTGATAGTTTATTTGAGATTTTAGACATGTTTACACACAAATAGCAAGCCAAAGAGGGAGGTAAGTAAAACAGGGAGAACAGAAAAGAGATTAAGGTAATTGGTAACAGGAAAACCTATAAATGGAATTATAGGTGAGGTTGAGAGAACCTATAAATGAAATTATAGGCAAGAATAGGTAGGGAGTTTAGGCAATATGTTCTAGACAGGTTATGTACAGACAGGTTATTTATGAGAAAGAACCGATAAATTAAATTATAGGTAGGAGTTATGGGTAACTATTGAAATAAGAGTTTTAATCAAGATGCCACAGAGAGGTTATTTACAGACAGAGGATAGTAAGAAATCCTATGTAGGAAAGTGTAAAATCTGGCTGTGTGTTTATTTAGTTGAATTTATAAGGAAATTCCCCATATAAAGACCACCCCAAATTTCTCTTATACAGCAAATTCCAGAGACCTCATGGTACAGAATAGCAAACGCCATCTGTTCTGTTTAACCCATTAGACAGCCACACCTTAATATGTATTTGAATAGGAACATATAGAATATGCAATATTCTACAGAAAGTATAAAGTTGAAAAACTGCCTTTTGTACAATAAGGTTAATTTATTTCTGAATGTGAATCTTGAAATCATATTTCCCAGCAGCATTGGTTAATATATAGTGCTGCGTTATCTAAATATAGCAATGTGCATTTTAATGATTCATATTTAATAATAGTGCAATAAGTGCTGATTAGAGCCTGAAAACTAGTCATTTTTGTCAAATATAGACAGAGGCAACAAAAGCTCCCGCCAATGGGAAAGGTCTCCAGTTATGAATACTGAACACCATAATTAGCGCTTTATTTAAATGTTAACATGGGGGAAATGTTAATTTATTCATAATTCCAGCCTTCAAAAAAAACAAAAAAAAATGTTGTTGAAATATTTAAAAATTTTAAAAATATAAAGTTATCTTCTGAGTGGGAACAGATCACATATTTTGTTTATTTCAGGATTATTTTAGACTCAGATAAACATCAACTGACAGATCCAGAACGTTAAGAAAGCATATTTCTGCAGATCAAACAATTGTTTTATTCTGTAGTTAAAATATTAAAAGGACACTATAGGCACCAAAACAACTTTATCTTAATGAAGCAGTTTTGGTGTACAGATCATATCCCCGCAGTCTCACTGCTCAATTCTCTGCCATTTATGAGTTAAATCAATTGGTTTATACAGTCCTTCTCACACCTCCCTGCATGTGACTTACACAGCGTTCCTAAACACTTCCTGTATAGAGAGATCTAATGTTTAAACTTCCTTTATTGCATAGTCTATTTCATTTAGAATTTCTTATATCCTGCTTTGTTAATAGCCTTCTAGACCCTGCAAGACCCTAATGTGAGCAGGAGATGAAAACTTCTAAAGCAAGCTAACATCTTATTGAAAATGAAACAATTTTTTTCATGCTGTCTGTGTGAGTTGTTGCTAGGGCTTCATAAACAGAAACAAAAGAGATTTAACTCTTAAATGTCAGAGAATTTAGCGTTGAGTTCTGTCCTTCACACCTGGCAGTCAGCATAGAGATAACATACAGAACATGAAACAATGTTTCTATTTCTCCTGTTTTAGGTGATTTTCAATGTTTTATTTAATGGTGTAAATTTTCCATTTAATTTTACTCTGCCAGTCTGCCCTGCTGTGGTTAGAACACCGGGTGAAAACAAGCTATAGCAGGTCAGTCGCCATTCAGAAAATGGTCTGATTGCTGTTCAAGCTAACCATGGGAGCAGAAAGATGGAGGTACAAAATAGGGGTGGCCGGCATGTACGAACGAGTTATATTCACAATTTTCAGTATTCTTTATTTTGCAAAAATAATTAATGAGTTATTAAAAAATAACACAATAATGAATTTTCTTTTAAAACATTTTTTTGTTACAGTTATCCATTAAAATAGGGGCTGACGTTTATCACTTGATGTGTTTAGGGGCAGATTCTCCCATGTGCACCTGGCCCAGTATGTGAGTTTAAGACTTTTTCCTGCACACGTCTCTTGCAATGCCACTCCAAAGGCAATCAGTTTCATGGTGATCCCGCAAGCATTAATCCCAGGCTCAGTGATTCCAAGGAGAAAGATGGTGGGAAAAGAAAAGTAAAAAGGGACGAAGCTTGAACCCATACAAACACTGTAAAAGTTCAAAATAAATTGAGCTGGACGTCCTTAGTGTCGTGGCAAAGCTTCCAGAACATTAACAGTTATCATCATTGCTGCCAGAGCATGTTTGAGTGGCTTGAAGGAAACCCATCTCTCTCCAAGCATCCAATGCCCATTCTCCTCACTTGGATAATTTTGCTGTCCCACTAATTCCGCTTTCTGTTCATCATAATTGCCTCTTTTTTAGCTAAGAGACCTCTACTCATGCTGCTTCTGCCTTAGCTCTTGCTCGGAGAGCTGCAGAACTAACTGATGATCTGTCAGATGGCACAGAGTATCTGGAACCGGAAACGTGAGACCTGGTCTATGTGGATTGAGGTATAATATCAATATTCTTATCTGAATTAATGGCGATCGAGTTAAAGTGGATGGCTTTCTACTTTGCTGTCCTACTAACTCGTAGCCAACAGCTGGTTAACAAAACGGACAGAAATAGCAATTTGTTTCTTTCAAACTGAGCGAATTCTGTGAATAGTTCTGTAATACTGCAATACAATCAGATAAACAAGGAGTGCAATGTGTATTTACATGTGACACGTTGACAATAAGCATGATATTAAACAGACGTACAGGCATGATATGTGTATCTATAGAAAATCACTTGTCTGCTTCTGAAACTAAAATGGCTTCTGTAACTGATATAAAACTCCACGTGTTCTATAACAAACCGTGAACTTTATTACCAAAGACTAGATACTTCGGGTCTCATTCCTGTGAAGAACTGAACTGTAGCTACAACAAATAACCACAAGGTATGCTCAATGCAATAATCATATCAGAGACAGCACAATAAAGCAGATGTTGTATCATAGAAATGTGGGTGAACACCCCAAGACTGATTGCAACATACCTCCTGTAACAAGCTGTAGTGGTTTTGGTACAAATGTAGACCAATCCACTAGGGGGGGCAGCGTTGGTACTCATGTGATATAATGATTTAAATTTAGGTCCTCCTGAATTACAAACAGGCTAATTGTATTTCACTATTTTATCTGCTTTTCTATTGCCCAGCCTTGTTACAGAGCTCAGCCCACGCAATGTGTTCCTTGTTTAATGTTATTTATTTCCTAGAGATTCATATGAATACCCTTTGCTATTTCATTTTTTTTTTTGGGGATTGCTAGCCTCTTCGAGGAATCTGATGGCTGTTACCCAGTACAGTCCTTCCACAGTCTGCGACATCTTTCTCAGGACTGGTGATATTGCCATGGGACATAAAAATCCAAGACTTGAGTTTGGCAACTTGGACAGCTATAGATAGGCAACTGTTGAAAGTTTTTATTAATCCCTGTGTTTAGATTCAGAGACAAATTCCTTCTACAGTCCACAGGGAGACTCCGACATAGCTGTGACCAACTTGCAATGGATCCATCGTGTGTTTTCATCCCAATCGTATCTACTTGTTCCAATATGAATAGTAAACACGTGTTTATCCACTAAGATTTTACAGGAGGGAGTTGCAATTAACGCTGGTTCGGTTCGGTCCCCACGTCAGTAGAACATCTTTAACAGAAACTTTTTGAAAAATAAACAGACATGCCTGTAAGACAAAATCAATTTGAGATCATTAATTAAAGTTTCCTTACAGAATGCTATCATACAAAACATCTCTCGCCCACATCAACGATTCTAACTAATGAGTCAAAAATAAACTTCCAAACATAGGCTTCTGAGGCAACATATGCCTTGATTTAAAATTGGTGGATAAACGTTTATACGATTTTTGGATAAACTTTTAAAATCACTTAATTTAAAAAAATATATATTTTGATACAGTAATATTGTGATATTTTTAATATACTGATGTATTTATATATATATGATTTTTAAAAATATTTTAATATTTAGAAAAGCAATAACGTTAGCCATTCTGTACAGTTTATGTGCATTACTATTGTTGGTCCTAGCTGTACAAATCTTTGTGTTTCTTAACAAGGTAGGGCTGACAAAACCATAATATTCATAATTTTTTTTATTATTTGGTTATTAACAGCCTATTGATCCCAGAAAAAAATCGTACTGCCATTCTGAGTTCAAGAAGGAATTTTTTGCCCTTCATTTGGATCAACAGCAAAAACTCAAGACGGACTCGTCTTTTTTTGGCTGTAACTATGTCAGCTCTTTAAAATATCAAACTTAAAGGACCACTATAGGCACCCAGACCACTTCAGCTCAATTAAGTGGTCTAGGTGCCAGGTCCATCTAGGGTTAACCCTTTTTGCTGTAAACATAGCTGTTTCAGAGAAACTGCTATGTTTACATATGGGTTAACCCAGCCTCTAGTGGCTGTCTCATTGACAGCCGCTAGAGGCGCTTCCGCGCTTCTCACTGTGATTTTCACATTGAGAAGACGCCAGCGTCCATAGGAAAGCATTGAGAATGCTTTCCTATGGACTGACTGAATGCGCGCGCAATCAGACGATGACGTCGGAAGGAGAAGGAGAGTCCCCAGTGCTGAGGGAGCCCGGCGCTGGAGAAAGGTAAGTATTTAACCCCTTCCTCCCCCTTCAGCCTGGCGGGAAGGGGACCCAGAGGGTGAGGGGGACCTATTTACTCTATAGTGCTAGGAAAACGAGTTTGTTTTCCTGGCACTATAGTGGTCCTTTAACAATGCATAATTTGATTTGCCCAAATAAAAAAAGAAAACAAATCTAACTTTTTGGACAAAAGTCATACAAACTGAATTACTCAATGGATGAAATGTCGTTCGTCAGAACCAAATCAGTTTTTCCTAAAAAGTTGATTTGGGCAAACCATTTTTTTTTTTTGCTCTCATCATATATTAAAATTGTTATCATCACTATTATTATTATTATCATTTATACACTCCCAACATATTCTGCAGCACTGTACAAGTGCACAATGCAAATAAATAAAAAATAAAATAAAATTGATGTAAACAGAAACAACGGATGAAGAGGGACCTGCTCAAATAGGGAGAACAATCTAGATGAGTGGTCCCCCACCAGTCCAGGATTTAGGGATTACCCAGCTGTGTGAAAGGTGTTTTTAGAAAGGGTAACAGGGTAATCCCTAAATCCTGGACTGGTAGATGGCTCTTTAGGGCTGGGTTGGGAATCCCTGATCTAAATAAATAAATAAATAAATAAATAAAAATAGACTTATATTAATGTAAATTTGTGCTATATATTTGTAATGTACATATTAGCTAAATGGTAAAATTAAAACATACAGCATTTAAAGGGAAACTATAGTGCTAGCTACAAAGTTGTATTCCTAGCGCTATAGTAACCTATAGTGCACCCCCCACCCCCAAGAAGTGCAGAAAGAGTTAATAACCTTTATGTCACTTACCTGAATCCAGCGCCAATGTCCATCGACGCTGGGTCAGACTCCGCCTCTCTCCCTCTCCCCCGATGTCAGCCGACATTGGGGACCTATTGCGCATGGACGTTGAGGGCCACGCTCGGATTAAGACTAACCCATAGGAATTTGAATGATGCTGGAAGTCCTCATGCAATGCGTGAGGATGTCCAGCATCAGTTAGGTGACCAAAAGTCACCTAACGTCCTGGAAGTGCCTCTACTGACTGTATGGTACACAGCCACTAGTGATAGAGTTACCCTGCAAGGTAATTATTTCAGTGTATCAATAACTGCAATAATTATAATTAGAAAAGAAAATAATAAGAAACAAGAAAATGATGTTCCCTTTATTTGTCAGTTTTCAGGTCCTCAGAATAAACTAGTTAGGAAAATCATCTCGGAACATTGGCACTGGCTACTAAAAGATCCAGTTTTAATAAAATTATTACCACCTATCCCAAAAATAGTACATAGAGGGGTGAAAAATATGAAAAGAATTTTAACAGATAAAATTCCAAATAAAAATCAATCTAAATTTAATTAGGTTTGGCTATTGTAATGCCTGTCGTAATACGGACAGTGGTAAACAGAACATTAAAGAATTTAAAGCCAATGGAAACACATACAAGATAAAAGAACTCATAACGTGTCAAACGAAAAATGTAATTTATATGTTACTTTGTCCATGTGGCTTGAGATATATAGGCCGTACCACTAGACAATTACGAACTAGAATATGTGAGCACACATATAATATTAAGAAAAAATATCAATTACACCAGGTTTCCCTACATTTTGAAGAATTTCATAATTCTGACCCCCCCCCCCTTTTAAATTTTATAGGGATTCAACAGGTTAAAAGTGACTGGAGAGGAGGGAATCTGATCCAGAATTTAGGCCGTATAGAAATGAGATGGATATTTGAACTGAATACTCTCATTCCTAATGGAATGAATAATGACTTTGAGATCTGTCATTTTTTATAAATTTTATAATTTTCATGTTATTTTTATTTTTATTTATTTTTATATTTATTTTTATTCTCATTTAATTTTCGTTATTTATTTAATTTTGGGAGATATATTTCTTCTACAAAAGTTCAGATATCCACTCAGAGTGTACCCTTTCACTATGTCACTTTGTTCCACTTTGATATTATCACTGTGTCACTTTAAGAGTCACTACTATTGCAAAACCATAGAGGTAAATTATATTTATGGTGTTGAATATATACTAACATATGCTCTCTTTTCTTTCCCTCCATGTATTATATATGATGATTCAGTTGTGATTCAGATTTAAACTGTATAATTTTAATTATTTTAATTATTGTATTTATAGTATGTATAGATTTGTTGATAAATAGGGGCATTTCTGTTGGAAGTATATGATGTCCATGTAGGGATGAAATAGGTATGAATGGTGTAACAATTGATCTGCTGATCCGAATTTCATACATATGTAAATGTGATGCACCTAAAAACAATGAATATAAGTAGGAGAATGTGTATAAAAACTCTCCGAGAATGGGGAGGGACTAAGCACTTTGACGTCCTGACGAAGCCGTCTGTGAACGGAGAAACGCGTAGACAACACGGAAGCACGTTGAGAAAGGGGGCGGAGCCTATTTGGAAGCCGGGCGTTCTGAGAGCGGCAAAGCTGAATTACACGCTGAACTGGACGGCACCCGAGCGGCAACATAGAGGAACTCCATCAGACCTCCCTCAACCCCTTAACACAGGAGACATCTCCCAGTGTGGGAAAGCCAGACTGTGAGTAAACGGGCACACATACCGTTATACTCACCAACAATTCTAGTAAGCAGCCATTTGCTTTGTAGCCATCTCTAGACATTTGCTACGTGATGCACAATGAGCTGTTTGTGACATGTTAACTAAACAGTGATTTGTCCTGTATCTGTATTTTAATTGTTATTATATCTTGCTTTTTAACTTTGATATCTGTTTTATGATTGTAATAAACTTGTTAATATTCAGCTGATTTGACAAGTACCGTATTTATCGGCGTATAACACGCACTTTTTCTCCCCGAAATAGGGGAGAAATTGTGGGTGCGTGTTATACGCCGGCCCTTTAAATACTGCAGCCGCCTGAGCGCTCTGTCAAGAGCGCTCAGGCGGCTGCAGTTGGTACTCACCTCCCCTGTAGCGTGGCCGAGCCGCTCTGCTGTCCGCGGTGGCCGGCCGGACTGATAGGAAGGTGCACGCTCAGTGTGCACCTTCCTGTCAGTCCGACCGGGTACAGGAAACAGAAACTCCTGTTCCGCGTGGAACAGGAGTTTCTGTTTCCTGTACCCGGTCGAACTGACAGGAAGGTGCACACACCTCTATCACCTCGGCGCGGCAACCTGCTTGAACAGCAACGGCACTATTCAAAAGAAAATAGAAAAGAGTGGGGAAGTAGAGAGGGAGAGTAGAAGGGGAGGGAGGATAAGAAGAGGGGGTAACAAGAGGGGAGGGTAAGAAGAGGTAGAAGAGGGGGAAGTAGAAAGAGAGTAGAGGGAGGAAGTAGAAGGGGGAGGGAGTAAGAAAGGGGGTAAGAGGGGAGTAAGAAAGAGGGGAGGGTAGAAAGGGGGTAGAAGAGGTAAGAAAGAGGTAGAGGGGAGGAAGTAAGAAGAGGGGGAGGGGAAGTAGAAAAGGGGAGTAAGAGGGGAGGAGGGGTAAGAAAAGGGGTAAGAAGTTCTTTATTTGAAATTTAAAGGACCACTCTAGGCACCCAGACCACTTCAGCTTTATGAAGTGGTCTGGGTGCCAGGTCCCTCTAGGATAACCCTTTTTTTATAAACATAGCAGTTTCAGAGAAACTGCTATGTTTATAGTGAGGGTTAATCCAGCCTCCAGAGCCTCTAGTGGCTGTCTCATTGACAGCCGCTAGAGGCGCTTGCGTGCTTCTCACTGTGAAAATCACAGTGAGAGCACGCAAGCGTCCATAGGAAAGCATTGTAAATGCTTTCCTATGCGACCGGCTGAATGCGCGCGCGGCTCCTGCCGCGCATGCGCATTCAGCCGATGACGTCGCGAGCAAGGAGGAGAGGAGGAGTACAGCTCCCCACCCGGCGCTGGAGAAAGGTAAGTGTTTAACCCCTTCCTCTCTCCAGAGCCCAGCGGGAGGGGGTCCCTGAGGGTGTATAACACGCACCTCATTTTAAGAAGGAAATTTTAGGGGAAAAAAACTTAAAGGACCACTATAGTGCCAGGAAAACATACTCGTTTTCCTGGCACTATAGTGGTCCTTTAAGTTTTTTTTCCCTGAAATTTCCTTCTTAAAATGAGGTGCGTATTATACGCCGGTGCGTGTTATACGCCGATAAATACGGTATATGTGATTTTTAGCACTATTTATAGAAGTGCAAGTTAATATAACAGATCTGTTCTATGTTCATTTCTATTTTCCTTTTGTATATGCTGAACAACAATTGAGATACCATTGAGCAAGAAGTATAAGTATATTTTAACTTGCTAATTGTACTGCATGTGGGATAGGGGTGTATTGCAGTTAAAGACCGCTCCACTTCACAATATTATTTTTTTCTTGAATTGACATGTGGTGAAGGGATCACTTTGAAGTGTGGTAGCTGGTATTGTATTTATAATTAATATATTTATAATTTAAATTAAATCTATTTTTGCCCCTATAGATTGTTTCATCTTAAGCGCTCCAGTATTGAATGTTTTAATAATTATAATTGCTGGGTTAAAGGGACAGAGCACAGCACCCAAACCACTTCAATCAGCTATAGTGGTCTGGGTGCCTTTAAAGCCAAAATCTAAGTCAGCTAAATTCCATTACTTTAGCCTCAGATTTAAAATCCACTTTTAATTTACTTTGATTCCCCAACAATTCTCAGTTTAATAAATAACCCTTATTGTAAAGCAGATACTATTCAAATGTAATGCATGAATTTACTGCTTAATGGCAGAATTGTACCACAACAATACAAACATACGCTAATAACCATTTTAACCCCTTAACGCCTTTAGGGCATTCTATGCCGTCCGCATTATAATGGGCTTTAAAGCCGTCACGGCGGCATAGAATGCCCTAACGGCTTTGTGACGGACCGCCATCATTAAGTACCATGCCCACTGCATATTTGTCTGTTTTCCCCTTGTATCGTATGGTCCCTCTGTGTTTCCCATATATTTATATGCCTTTCATGTATTGTGCCTGTATATGCAGCAGCTCTGAAAAGTATAGAAGTGAAATGTATTGCTGTCTGTGTCTCCCCTCCTTTCCCCCTCCCTTTACCTGTCACAGCAGGACGTTGCCACAGAGACACTGCCAGCCCAATTTAACCTAGATGCATTGTCCTTCCTCCCTCCCCCTTCAGCTTCTTGGGATTGAAACCCCTATTGTTTGTGTTGGAGACCCAATGTAGAGTTCTGTGTCTGTAAAACCATGTGTACAAAATAAATAGTCAGTGTTGTAAAGAAGGGAAATAGTGGAGGTAACCAGTCGGGTTACCCATAGTACTCACTGCCTGAAAGAGCGATCACATGGCAGGCATAGCTGCCTATGCAGCTGCCTATGCAGCTGCCTGCAGGGGGGCTGCCTAACTGACAGGCAGTCCCTCTGCTGGTCAGGAAATATAAAAAAATGGTAATGCAACAATCAGAGTAAAAAAAAATATATATATATATATATATGTATATATATATATATATGTACATATATATATATATATAATCCATAATAAGTGTATTTTTATATTGATAGTTTTATATATATATATATTTATCAAAATACACTTATTATGGAGTTACATATACAATTTCCTGAAGAAAGTCCCATAAGAGGACTGAAACGTCGAAATAGCCTTTTTAATATATGGATTAATAAACTTTATTTTTTAATCTACTTTTGGAAATCCGTGAGTGCTAATCACTATCTACTGGTATGTAAAATTCCCCCTGATTTTGAGCACCCGGTCTAAACGTTTTTTGGAGCCAGAGTGCAAGGACTTTGTGGATAGTTTTATATTTATATATATATATCTATCTATATATATATATAGATAGATATATATATATATATATATATTATACATACAGTAATTGTATATATTATGTATATATATATATATATATATATATATATATATTAATAAAATTAAAATAAATACATTTAAAGATGAATTAATTAAATAATAATATAAAAGTTTTAAAAAATTATATATATATGGAATTTCATTCTAAAAGTATTTTCATATTAATATATATTTATATATATATATATATATATATATATATATATATATATATATATATATATATATATATATATATAGTTATCAAAATATACTTAGAATGAAATTATATATATATATATCTATATATATAAATATATAAAAATTATAAGAAATATATATACATATAGATTACAGATATAATTACATAAATAAATAAATAATTGTTATTGTAGTTTGATATAAAAAATACATAACAGTCAGAAATCGTATCATTAAACAAGCCGGTTCTTATACATTTTCCGAAATTGAATTTCTGACACAAACGTAACATAATTAAATACATACAATACTATACAAAAACAATACAGTCTAAAATCTAATCCTTTCTAATGTGGTTCATAGCGTCTTAATCAGTTTAGATTTCTGAAGTAAACATAACATAATTAGATACAAAAATTTATGGTGGCAGTGTGAAAAGAAAAGCGAATTTCTAGAGTAAAAATACATTATAGATTATAGTTCCCTTAAACTGTCAAAATTTGCTGTAATTATCAGTATTATGAGGCTCACAGTGTCATGTAAAGTACAAACAATCCACATACATGAAAGAACATCCAATTTAATATAAGGTGTTGGTCGGGTTATGTACTGGGGAAATATAGGAGAGGGGGGGACTTAGATTGGGACAGTCCCACCATTTATGTTTCAATGTCCCAATTTCCCTATTACATCTCCAGTATTGATTTGTATAATGTAACTTATAGTTGCATAATCTAGAAGGGACTAAATACCAATTAGTTACGATTTTGTAAACAATTTCTGAGATATTTAGACAGTGTATTGATTTCTTAAAGTAATCTATAGAGTCCATCCATAGATTATAAGGATAAGTAATATCTAAATCTTCCTCCCATTTTAAGATGGTATTTATTTTACTTTCTGGAGTATTTTTGTAAATAATCCGTCTGATTTTGGAAGATTTTAAAAGTTGTGGTCCATATAGGATCGTATCCAAAGGAGACTGATCTATTATTTGTATTGTTCTAAGAAAATTGATAATTCTTATGTATGTAAATCTCTCACTATTGGGCAAATTGTATTAGGAGAATTGTTAAATCCTAATTGACCAACCATTACAATATTTTTCCTTAGCCATTTGGTTAAATTCAGATCTCTTATATATAATTAGATTATTTCCAAAGGGGCTTTACTCAAAACTTGATTTTTGAACAAGAAATTTTTTTTTTATCGGGTCGAATGATTTAAACATTTGTAATATAATTAAATGATCTATTTTCAGATTTTTTAAACATTTTATTATCGAGCCAAAAAAAAAGAAAGGGGTCTATTCCTACACACTGGTCTTTCTTTATCTTATACCATATTTTCTCCCTAGATTTTATTTTGCCCCATTCTAAAAAATGGGAGAACATTATTGAGTTGTGAATCAACTGAATATTGGGAAAGGATAATCCTCCTTCTTTTAAGTGTGTCATCATTATTTTTCTATTTATTCTTGTCTTTTTGTCGAACCACACGAAAGAATACAACAAATTATCGAACATTTAAAAAATTTATTTGATACTCTTATTGGAATTGTTTAAAATAAATATTCTAATTTCGGAACCAAATATGCCTTTATTGTATTTAATCTACCCATTCAGGAGAGTGTTTGATTTTCCCATTTTTTGATCTGATCTTTGAAATCTCTATATAATTTAAAATAATTTAAATCTACCCATAATTCTGTATCAAAATGTATTATAGTTCCTAGATAATGTATTGTTTGTACATCCCAATTATATTTATATTTTGATTTGATTAGTTTTACCTGATCTTGAGTTAGGTTTCGTTTAATTTTTTTTTTTGTGCAAATTTATTTTGTAATTTGAGAGACGACTAAAATTATCTATACACTTCATTGTAAAAGGAATAGAGGTTTCTGGGTGAGTAAGAGTTAATATTATATTGTCCGCAAATAATGTTATTTTTTGTTTAGCGTGACCTGTTGGTATTCCTGAAATATTTATGGACTTCCTAATGTATGCAGCAAGAGGTTCAATAGAGAGAACATATAACAGGGGGGCCAAAGGGCATCCCTGACGTGGTCCGTGAATTTACATGTAGGATTTAAATACATATATATGTATATATATTTAAATTCTATGTGTATATTTACGTACTATTTTTACATAATTAAGTCATTTTATCATTTATAATTTGAGGGACCAGCCTGAGAACCCAGGCAGCAAGTCCAGAGAATTTAATTTGCAAGTCCAATGTTTATCCCTGTAACTTTCCAAAACACTACACAACCTTGACATGGGGGGTACTATTGTACTTGGGAGATTTCGCTGAACACAAACATGTGTGTTATAAAACAGTAAAACGTATCACGAAGATGAAATTGTCAGTAAAAATGCAGTTTTTGTGTAAATAAATGCAAAAAACAAATATAAACGCTAACTTTGGCTAGCATTTGTGACTAAGTGGCTACTAAAAAACACTGGACATACCCCATTTTGAATACCTAGGATTGTCTACTTTTACAAATGGTATGTCAAGATTGGGTTAATTTTCATCCCTGGGCTACCATACCATCTCAAAGGCAACATAGGCCCAGCAAACCAATCTGGCAAATTTCAATGGAAAAAGGGGAAAGCCCTATATTTGACCTCTGTAAGTTTCCAAAAACTCATAAAACCTGTAGATGGGGGGTACTGTGGTACTCATGAGACATTGCTGAATACAAATATGTGTATTTTCTTGCAGTAAAATCTAACAGTATTATGACATTCACAGTTAAAATGTAATGCAGAACTTGAGAAATAACAAATTTTCTTAAATTCTCATACATTTTTAGATTTTATTCACATTCAATGATGTTTCATATATACCTATTTGATATGAAATGAAAGCCCTGTTTCTCCTGAACAAAATGATTTAATTTGAAAGAGGTTAATTACGGTTGAACAGGCATATAGCGCAAATTCCAGGTTTTGTTTACGTTTTGTTTTGATCACAATTGGCTCCGTCCTTAAGGGGTTAAATTGAGTACTTGGAGTAAACACATATATTTGCCACATGGTGTCAGCATTGCACCAAGAAATATTCCAAATACCTCTGCAGGAAAAAAAATTAAATAATCTGTAAATCCTTAAATCTCACAAATGTAAAAACCAGATACCTGTTGGATAAATTCATCAACTGTCTTCGTAATGTTTATCTCTGAAGAAATTGTGCTCTTAATGTTTAGTTTCAAATATGTTCTTTCTACATTAAGAAAATAGGAAGAATTTTAATAATAGGATAAGATTAATTAATGCATATTTCACATAAATTAATAACCATTAAATCTTGCTTGTCCACAAGGACTTTGCTGGAGAGCCTTATCTGGGGTGGACCGCTGAAAATCCCCGAACCTCATTTTAAGAACTCTTTCATCTCAATTTAATATTGTTGGAAGTCCTTTTCAGATGATTTAATATTTTTGGATGAATTTTAAAGATAATTAACCATTATGAAAATATGTCAATATTTTTGTTATATATTGATTTTTTTTTCCATTTACATGGTATATTTTGATATTTTAATATGTTTAAACATTATTTTAAAAGCTTATCCAATAATATTAAAACAGTAACCCCAAGTCTGTTGCTGATATTAAAAGCTTTGCCTTTTGTTATGTGTTAAATCATCGTTGTAACAGTGCTGCTTCAATGCACCATAGTTGGAGTTAATACAGAGCAGCGTGAGGTTATTACTATCGGTGCATGGTTTTAATGCAGTGGGTGCAGGTTTATTGTTGCATGTTTGGAGTTAATGCTATGGGCGTGCATGGTTAATCTAGCATGGCCATAAAATTCACCCTTGGGCTGGAGCCCCTGGTATTTTTACCACCCAGCAACATTCCTGATTTATCTATACATTCTCCCCAAAATGAATGTTCTATTAATCAGCAGAGTATAAAGAATTATAATATATGCTGCACTAAACCATGTCAGAAAAGTAGAAGTTTTGCCACTGCTTTTGTTGTATCACTAATTATTACAGACTAGTTTCATGATATGACTCACCAGTAAATCCTGTGGAAGTCATGTCCTTGGATACAATTATCCCATCTTTATTGGTAGCAAAACCAGATGTGTCTGTAGTACTGGGTGTCAGATTAGCAGAATAATTACTTCTCATATCACTGACTGAACTGGTGCTGAGTTCTTTAATAGAATACGGTTCCAAGCTAGTGCCGGGTTCACCTGTACCTTTAGGTACTAGACTTGTAGATTCACTTGTAGTACTAGTTATTTGATTAATACTGAGTTCACCTGTAGCATTATTTATGTAATTCTTGCTGGGTTCACTTGTATTGTTAGTCGCTTGACCGGTCATAGGTTGACTTGCAGTATTGATTACCATACTGGTGCGAGGTTCATTTGTAGTATTCAGAATACTTATAGTATTAGTTAATTGATTGGTGCTGAGTTCACCTGTAGTATTACGTAACAGAGTGGTTCTGAGTTCCTCTGTAGTTTGTGTTATAAAACCAGTGCTAAATTTACTTGTAACATTAGTGATCAGATTGCTGCTGGGTTCACTTGTAACATTAGTTATCAGATTGCTGCTGGGTTCACTTGTAACATTAATTATCAGATTGCTGCTGGGTTCACTTGTAACATTAGTTATCAGATTGCTGCTGGGTTCACTTGTAACGTTAGTTATCAGATTGCTGCTGGGTTGACTTGTAACATTAGTTATCAGATTGCTGCTGGGTTCACTTGTAACGTTAGTTATCAGATTGCTGCTGGGTTGACTTGTAACATTAGTTATTAGATTGCTGCTGGGTTCACTTGTAACGTTAGTTATCAGATTGCTGCTGGGTTCACTTGTAGCATTAGTTATCAGATTGCTGCTGGGTTGACTTGTAACATTAGTTATCAGATTGCTGCTGGGTTCACTTGTAACATTAGTTATCAGATTGCTGCTGGGTTGACTTGTAACATTAGTTATCAGATTGCTGCCGGGTTCACTTGTAACATTAGTTATCAGATTGCTGCTGGGTTGACCTGTAACATTAGTTATCAGATTGCTGCCGGGTTCACTTGTAACATTAGTTATCAGATTGCTGCTGGGTTGACTTGTAACGTTAGTTATCAGATTGCTGCTGGGTTTCACTTGTAACATTAGTTATCAGATTGCTGCTGGGTTCACTTGTAACATTAGTTATCAGATTGCTGCTGGGTTCACTTGTAACATTAGTTATAAGATTGCTGCTGGGTTCACTTGTAACATTAGTTATCAGATTGCTGCTGGGTTGACTTGTAACATTAGTTATCAGATTGCTGCTGGGTTCACTTGTAACGTTAGTTATCAGATTGCTGCTGGGTTGACTTGTAACATTAGTTATCAGATTGCTGCTGGGTTCACTTGTAGCATTAGTTATCAGATTGCTGCTGGGTTGACTTGTAACATTAGTTATCAGATTGCTGCTGGGTTCACTTGTAACATTAGTTATCAGATTGCTGCTGGGTTCACTTGTAACGTTAGTTATCAGATTGCTGTCGGGTTCACTTGTAACATTAGTTATCAGATTGCTGCTGGGTTGACTTGTAATGTTAGTTATCAGATTGCTGCTGGGTTCACTTGTAACATTAGTTATCAGATTGCTGCTGGGTTCGCTTGTAACATTAGTTATCAGATTGCTGCTGGGTTCACTTGTAGCATTAGTTATCAGATTGCTGTCGGGTTCACTTGTAACATTAGTTATCAGATTGCTGCTGGGTTCGCTTGTAACATTAGTTATCAGATTGCTGCTGGGTTCACTTGTAGCATTAGTTATCAGATTGCTGTCGGGTTCACTTGTAACATTAGTTATCAGATTGCTGCTGGGTTCACTTGTAATGTTAGTTATCAGATTGCTGCTGGGTTCACTTGTAACATTAGTTATCAGATTGCTGCTGGGTTCACTTGTAACATTAGTTATCGGATTGCTGCTGGGTTCACTTGTAACATTAGTTATCAGATTGCTGCTGGGTTGACTTGTAACATTAGTTATCAGATTGCTGCTGGGTTCACTTGTAACGTTAGTTATCAGATTGCTGCCGGGTTCACTTGTAACATTAGTTATCAGATTGCTGCTGGGTTGACTTGTAACATTAGTTATCAGATTGCTGCTGGGTTCACTTGTAGCATTAGTTATCAGATTGTTGCTGGGTTCATACATATCATTAGATTTGACACTACTAGCATCTATGACAAGACTACTTGTAGACTCACTAGAAGTGTGAGTTACCAGATTTTTTGTGAATTCAGTATTTGTTGTGTGGCTGGTACTGTGATCACTTGTATTATTATATAACCCACGGGTTGTAGTGTCATTGGATGTATATGATGTGTGGATGGTAATACTACTATTTGAGCCATTAGTTATGAGACTGGTACCGTGTTCACTAGTGGTATTTATTAACTGATGGGTAGTAATCTCACTGTTAGTATTTGTAATTGACTCGGTAATAGCTTTATTAGTAGAATTAGTTATTAGACTAGTACTAGGTCCACTAGGAGTGTAAGTTAACTGATTGGTACTATTAGTTACAAGACTGGCCTCAGTAGAGCTTGTAGTGTTTGTTGTTATATGGTCAGTGGTAGTTATCACGGCAGTGGTAGACCCATCAGCACCGTAATTTGTAAGATCAATTGTTAGATCGTATATAGGTTTATAGATATTGGATACTATTTGATTGTTTTTATTAATTGTTGTGGTACTGGTGATAGTGTTCGTTACCAGACTGGTAGCAGGTTGAGATGAATTACTAATGGTTAGGCTGGTAGCAGTTTGGTTATCGGTCATATTAGCAATTGATGCAGTTATATCACCTATTATGGTGGCAGGTGCTTGAGTCATCATATTAGTTACCAAGTCACGCTGAGTATTAGCTGTATCATTAGTCATCATGCTGGAAATCTCATTACTAGTATGATAACTGGTTTGCTCAGTTGTATCATACGTTCTCAATGCAGTAGTGAGATCGGTGTCTGATATAAGACCGTAATTAGTATCAGTTTTTGTACTGGTCATGAGCTCAGTATCAGCTATAGTACTGGTAGCGATCTCAGTATCAGTTATTATACTGGTAGTGAGCTTGGTATCAATTATTACACAGGTTGTGAGCTCGGTATTAGTTATTCTGGTGCTGAAGTCGGTATTAGTTATAACACTGGTAGTGAGCTCGGTATCATTTATAGTACTGGTAGTGAGTGCAGTATTAGTTACAGTACAAGTTGCAAGCTCTGTATTAGTTATCATACCGGTAGTGTGCTTGGTATCAGTCATAGTACTGGTAGTGAGCCCGGTATCAGTAATAGTACTGGTAGTGAGCTCTGTATCAGTTATAGTACTGGTAGTGAGCCCGGTATCAGTCATAGTACTGGTACTGTGCTTGGTATCAGTCATATTACCGGTAGTGAGCTCTGTATCAGTTATAGCACTAGTAGTGAGCTTGGTATCAGTTATAGCACTGATAGTGAACTTGGTATCAGTTATAGCACCGGGAGTGAGCTCAGTATAAGACATAGTACTGGTAGTGAGCTCGGTATCAGTTATAGCACTGGTAGTGAGCTCGGTATCAGTTATAGTACCTGTAGTGAACTTGGTATCAGTCATAGTACCGGTAGTGAACTCGGTATCAGTTATAGTACCGGTAGTGTGCTCGGTATCAGTTATAGTACCGGTAGGAAGCTCGGTATCAGTCACAGTACTGGTAGTGTGCTCGGTATCAGTCATAGTACTGGTAGTGTGCTCGGTATCAGTAATAGTACTGGTAGTAAGCTCGGTATCAGTCACAGTACTGGTAGTGTGCTCGGTATCAGTCATAGTAATGGTAGTGAGCTCGGTATCAGTCATAGTAATGGTAGTGAGCTCGGTATCAGTCATAGTACTGGTAGTGAGCTCGGTATCAGTTATAGTACTGGTAGTGTGCTCGGTATCAGTCATAGTACTGGTAGTGTGCTCGGTATCAGTCATAGTAATGGTAGTGAGCTCGGTATCAGTTATAGCACTGGTAGTGTGCTCGGTATCAGTCATAGTACTGGTAGTGAGCTCGGTATCAGTTATAGCACTGGTAGTGTGCTCGGTATCAGTCATAGTACTGGTAGTGTGCTCGGTATCAGTCATAGTAATGGTAGTGAGCTTGGTATCAGTTATAGCACTGGTAGTGTGCTCGGTATCAGTCATAGTACTGGTAGTGTGCTCGATATCAGTCATAGTACTGGTAGTGAGCTCGGTATCAGTCATAGTACTGGTATTGAGCTCGGTATCAGTTATAGTACTGGTAGTGTGCTCGGTATCAGTCATAGTACTGGTAGTGTGCTCTGTATCAGTCATAGTAATGGTAGTGAGCTTGGTATCAGTTATAGCACTGGTAGTGTGCTCGGTATCAGTCATAGTACTGGTAGTGAGCTCGGTATCAGTCATAGTACTGGTAGTAAGCTCAGTCTCAGTTACAGTACAGGTTGTGAGCTCGGTAATAGTCATCATGCTGGTAGTGAGCTCAGTATTAGTTAGATTACTGGCAGTAAGCACTGTATCAGTTATAGCACTGGTAGGCTCAGTATTAGTAAATGTACAGGTTGTGAGCTCGGTATTAGTTGTCATAGTGGTAGTAAGCTCAGCCGCACTGTCAGATGTTGATTTATTTGGAATGTCGGTGTGAGTGGTTGTTTCAGTGCCAACAGGTTCTGCGGTTTTGGAAGAGACACTTGTATCAAAAGCTGAATCCATAATGGAGTCACTAGTTACATGGATACTGTTGTCCTTTGTGGTATCAGGTTCTGGAGTGGTGATGGCATTAGATGTTAGGTCAGGTAGGTTGGTACTGGTGCCCTTTGTGGTCTCAGGTTCTGTAGTGGTAATGGTATAAGATTTTAGGTCGGGTAGGTTGGTACCGGTGCCCTCTGTGGTATCAGGTTCTGCAGTTGTGATGATATTAGATGTTAGGTCGGGTAGGTTGGTACCGGTGCCCTCTGTGGTATCAGGTTCTGTAATGGTGCTGGTGGTAGATGTTAGTTCAGGAAGGATTCTACTGGTGACCTCAGTGGTATCAAATTCTTTAGTGGTGATGGTATTAGGTGTTATATAAGGTAGGTTGGTATCCATACCCTCTGTGGTATCAGATTCTGTAGTGGTTATGGAATTAGATGTTAGGTCGGGTAGGCTGGTACTGGTGCCTTCTGTGATATCAGGTTCTGTAATGGTGCTGGTATTGGGTGTTAGGTCAGGTAGGTTGGTATCAGGTTCTGTAGTTTTGCTGGTGGTAGATGTTAGGTCAGGTTGGTTGGTACTGGTGCCCTCTGTGGTATCAGGTGCTGTACTGGTGCTGGTGGTAGATGTAAGGTCAGGTTGGTTGGTTCTGGTACCCTCTGTGGTATCATGTGCTGTAATGGTGCTGGTGGTAAATGTTAGGTCAGATAGGTTGTTACTGGTGCCCTCTGTGGTATCAGGTTCTGTAATGGTGCTGGTATTAGATGTTAGGTTAGGTAGGTTGCTAACAGGTTCTGTAATGGTGCTGATGGTAGATGTTAGGTCAGGAAGGTTGGTACTGGTGCCCTCCATGGTATCAGGTTCTGTACTAATGTTGATATTAGATGTTAGGTCAGGTAGGTTGGTACTGGTGCCCTCCATGGTATCAGGTTCTGTACTGGTGCTGGTATTAGATATTAGGTCAGGTAGGTTGGTATCAGGTTCTGTAATGGTGCTGATGGTAGATGTTAGGTCGGGTAGGTTGGTACCGGTGCTATCTGTGGTATCAGGTGCTGTACTGGTGCTGGTATTAGATGTTAGGTCAGGTAGATTGGTACTGGTGCCCTCTGTGGTATCTGTACTGGTGCTGGTATTAGATGTTAGGTCAGGTAGATTGGTACTGGTGCCCTCTGTGGTAACTGTACTGGTGCTGGTATTAGGTGTTAGGTCGGGTAGGTTGGTACTGGTGCCCTCTGTGGTATCAGGTGCTGTACTGGTGCTGGTATTAGGTGTTAGGTCAGGTAGGATGGTATCAGTTTCTGTACTGCTGCTGTTATTAGGTGTTAGGTAAGGTAGGTTGGTATCAGGTTCTGTAATAATGCTGGTATTAGATGTTAGGTCAGGTAGGTTGGTATCAGGTTCTGTAATGGTGCTGGTGGTAGATGTTAGGTCAAGTAGGTTGGTACTGGTGCCCTCTGTGGTATCACGTTCTAGAGTGGTGCTGATGGTAGATGTTAGGTCAGGTAGGTTGGTATCGGGTTCAGTAATGTCTCCTTTCCCGGTAGGATCCACTGGGTTATTCTGGGGTTCCGTTGTTGTATCTGGTGCCGTTGTACTGACATTATTGACTGGAATTAGCGCATTGCTGGATGGTGATTCCGGTGTTGTATCAGTTTCAGAAATAGAGTTGACTTCACTAGAAATGGACGCCAATGGAGTTTCTTGATTTGTTGTCTGTCCATATAGAGGAACGGCAGCTGGACAAAAATCGCACAATGGATACATTGAGTAATGCAGTATTTTCTATGGCATATTTATACAACAGGAACATAACCGTCTTCCCAAACCCGGATGGATTTGCATTACAACCAGGGCCAGATTAAGAGCCCAGTGGGCCTGGTGCTGACAATTATGAGGAGCCTAATTACAGAATCTTATTGACCTAAAACAGTCATACCTCTCAAGCGTTATGTATCTGGTGGAGATGTTGCCGGAGGGAAACTCATAGGATGCAGCTATAAAAAAAAATTTAGATTCTCTTAAAATATGCCAATCTCTCTTTAATTCATGCTTCCATCTTCCATACCACCAGAACTTCCGAAATGGACAAACATGCCCAAAAAGGAAGCGTGTCTGCCCAAAGAATTGAAAGGGTAAACTGACATAAATGCTAGTGCTCTATAGCGTTAGAAATACGTATTTGTATATAACGCTATAGTGTTCCTTTAATGCTTTCCTATGGGGAAATCCTAATGTTAGTGTGACCAATGCCGCGGGTTAGGTCTCCCCCACCCGCTGACGGGAGAGGAACGTGGGTGGAGCCTGACTCTGCACCGCTGGACATCATTGCTGGATTCAGGTAAGTTCCGGGGGGAACTTATCTCCCCCTCTCATTCACCAAAGAGAGGGGGAGATAAAGATTTTATTAATACATTTGCTACCTGAAGCACCCCCCCACACACACACACTACACCCCCCACACCCACTGCAGCCCCCCACACACACAGCACCCCTCTCACACACACAGCATCCCTCTCATACACAGCAGCATCCCTCTCACACACAGCACCTTCCTCCCCACACACAGCACCTCCCACACACAAAGCACCACTCTCACACACACAGTTCCTCCCCCACACACACAGCACCCCTTTCACATGCACAGCACCTCCCCCCACACACACAGTACCCCCACACACACAGCATGCCCCCCACAAACACAGCACCACCCCCCACACACAGCACCCCTACACACACACAGCACCCCCCCCACACACACAGCACCCCACCCACACACACAGCACCCCCCCACACACACACACACCACCCACACAGCACCCCACACAGCACCTCCACACACACAGCACACACAGCACCCCACACACAGCATCCCCCCCACACAGCACCCCTCTCACACACAGCCCCCCTCACACACAGCAACTTCCCACACACACACCTCTCAAACACACAGCACTCCTCCCACACACACAGCACCCCCCCACACTCACACAGCACTCCTCTCACACACACAGCACCTCCCCCACAAACAGCACCCCTCTCAGACACACAGCACCTCCCCCCCCACACAGCACCCCTTTCACACACACAGCACCTCCCCCCCACACGCACCCGTACATACAAACACATACACTGCACCCCTCAATGCGTTGTCAGTGTTTGTGTGTATGTATTCAGCAGTCTGTGTGTACACACAAACACTCTGTCTGTGTGTAATCAGCATTCTGTGAGTGTGTGTGTGCATTTAGCAGTCTGTCTGTATGTGTATTCAGCAATGTGTGTATTCAGCAGTCTGTATGTATTCAGCAGTCTGTGTGTATGTATTCAGCAGTCTGTATGTTTGTGTGTGTGTGTGTAATCAGCGGACTGTGTGTCGGTGTATGTATTCAGTCGGTTTGTGAATGTGTTCAGCAGTCTGTGTATATGTATTTTATGTATGTATTGCATTTGTTGGAGATACTAATAAATATAAGCCTAATTTTATCTATAATTTTTATTTTTATTCCTTTGATTTGTGTGTAGGCAGGGCCCCAGTGCACTGCTTTGCCCGGGGGCCCATAATGTTATTAAGATAGCACTGGTGGGTGGGATGGAGGGCTGCGAGGGAGCACTGGCTTACGTGCTGTTCCAAAACTGCTCCTTCCGCTGATGCCGTGCCGCCGCCTGATTGACGTAATTTCCTGTTTCCCAGTGGCATCAGCGGAGGGAGCAGTGCGGGAACAGCAGGTAAGTCAGTGCTCCCTCACGCCCACACCCCCTCATAGCAGCGGGAAGGAATCAGATCCACCAGGTAGGGAGCCTGGGTGGACTTCAAACCTCCACCCGCACCGAAAACAATTAAACATTATTTATGTGCTGGGACGGAGAGCTGGATATACTGGGGGAAGGAGGATATGCTGGGGTAGTGAAGGGAAAATCTGGGGGAGAGAAGAGGAAAATCTGGGGGAGAGAAGGGTTGCTGCGGGGAGAGAAGAGGAGTTGCTGCGGGGAGAGAAGAGGAAATGCTGTGGGGAGAGAAGAGGAGATGCTGGGGGGAGAGAAGAGCAGAATCTGGGGAGAGGAGGAGAAGGAGATGCTGGGGGAGAGAAGAGCAGATTCTGGGAGTAGAGAAGAGGAGATGCTGTGTAGAGAGAAGAGCAGATGCTGGGCGGAGAGAAGAGGAGAAGCGGCGGGAGAGAAGAGGAGAAACTGGGGGAGAGAATAGGATAATCTGGGGGAGACAAGAGGAGAACCTGGAGCTTTCTCTTGCAAGCTGCTATGTGCGGACACAAATCTGCAGGATCTATGGCGTCATGTCAGGATTATAGTTGATCCAGCACGGAGAATAGTATCACACCTAGGACTAAGGATAACGTCTAACCGGACATTAGAACGACCGGACTTACGTACGTGAGAATAGTCAAAATACTTGCCGAGGTCAGGGACACAGAAAGAGACACAACGATGGAGAAAGCCAAATGTCAAGGATACCAGAAATCAGGGAAGTCAAAACGAAGCCAAAGTCAAATACCAGAAAAAACACGATCAGGAACACACTCTCGGATAACAAGCTAGTGGAAACCATGACAGGGCACTGATAAAAAGGTAATTTGGGTTTAAATGAGAGAGAAAAGCTCACCCTTACCTTTAGTATCTGACACCTTAGGTCAGATAGTGCTTCAAAAACACCAGTAAGTCTCTATGGTCTTACCATGTTCTGTGAAGGGAGTGAAGCAGAAAAGACCATAGAGACTAACTGTCGGTTTAAACACTGGCCAACCCAAGGTGTATGTGTATGGCTGAAGGATCCTGTCGTATAACGTAAGGTATGAGTTTTTTTCATTTATTTGCATATACTTCATATAAAAATATAAAATCAAGCAATATTTTTATAAAATAAAATACACTTAACTATATATGTATGAGTTCAAATACATTGATTAAATGATAAATGCAGGCATTAAAAAAACAAACAACAAATTGGACTCTATATGTATGAATTCAAATGCAAAAAAGACAAAATGCGGTACTGGCACTCAATGGACCAGTAATACCGCTGGTATTAGGGACCACGCTCCAAAAGATACCCTAAAATGAATGTATACATATAAACTTAACCATCAATACTTTTGTGAGTGCGGTATTAATTCAAATACCCCGATTAGATTATATATGGATTAGAATTAAAATACACCAATTGAATTTAATAAAATGAACAAAAATGATAAAGAAATAGGTCAGAATTAAGTGAAATTAACCATTCCATACACTGTATAATCTAAAATTATCAACATGGATAAAATGGATTAAATAATGTATATATTAAAGCACCCTTGTCACCTCTGGTTACTTTATAAAGATAAAATCTACATGAAATACGATGTTAACTGTTTCAGAATTTCAAAATAATCTAAAGATATTATAGGAAAGTTTGACAGATGTTGTTAAAAGTCAGTGGCAGGTGTGGAAAACATATATTCTTGCACATGGCATGACTTGGTCTATCCTGATTTTCATGGGTTTCTCCATTGACCTCTGTATTGTACATCCATGGAGAGGTAAAAAAACACGGCAGCACCGGTGGTTGCGAGCCTCAGGACTTCAAACCCCAGCTGCCACACACACAAACTGGGGGTGTCACCTTTGGGGGTCTTTGCAAAATATGCAAATGTGGCAGAACCACTTTAAGATGTAATATTCAATCCACATCTTCCTGAGCCATACATTTTGGCTGAATTTGGCAACAGTACATCTTAATATAAGCCAAACTAAACAAACACATTAAAAAAACACTGATTGAGTTATATGTGTATGAATTAAAATACCCTGATTGTATTAAATATAATGATTGAGTTATTTGCATATAAATTAAAATGTACTTATTGAGCTATATAGTTAGGCATTAAATTAGCCTGATTAAGATATTTGTGTAGGTATTAAAACGAACTGCTTAGGGTAGAGGTATATGAATTTAATACTCAGATTAAACTATTTGTGTATATATCAAAATATACTATTAAACTATTTTGTATGAAAACAAGGATTTCACACTTCCACTGGAATGAATAATAATAATGCCTAATAACCCTTCATTATTAGCATCTTCTCAGCCAAAGCAATCTTCCTCTTTGGCTAAATTTCACTAAAGATGTCACCCACTACCTCCTAGAAGGCCAAATTTGGCCACCAAGCTAAAATCTGCCATTAACTTACCATACGTTGCCAGAATGATGACTATTAATCCATATTGAACTCTGGGTTTCTCGTAAGACATTGCACTAGGGATGTGTGAGTCTTCTTACTAAGAAACGTTCTTGCAATGCTTCCAATACTGTTCCCAGCCGGCAGTAAAAATGTCTACTGTCTATGCACCATGAAGACATTCGTAGGACACCCAGTCATTCTTTGTGACAAGATGCAGATACAATGGAGATAAAGAGGTGAATTGATCTGTAACAAGAAATTGACATTTCTACAAATGTTTGTGCACAGCGTACCATAGGGATTGGTTTTAGGTGTGACTTGCTACTCGTAGACAATACAAACCTGTAAAGCCAATATGTTTTTTAAAATCTGGATGACAAAACAAAACTGACTGATAAGACTGTTGCGATTATTAGATATTGAATTGCACCAAGATGACACAATGAAAATGAAAAAGAAAAATGAATTTGAAAAAAAAAATGAAAATATATTCTTTATTTATTTTTTTATATGTTATGTAGATTATTTTCATTCCATGTTTCCCTTTTTTTCCCCTTGTGACATTTTACCTGCCTCGGTTTGGCAGGTCCTGTTTTTTCTATAAATGTTTATAAATCGTTTTATTATGCCACCATAAGTTTAAGTGTTATTCAAATTGGTCTTCGTGTAACTATTAGATTTCAATGTAATTTGTCTTTTTGAATATGCAAATCTGTGTAACTATGTATACAATTAGAGCATCAGTTATGAGCAGCCATGGAAATAAATGTTTCTATATGATATGGATTCGTTCATAAACATATGGCGCTTGCACGACTTGAATCGCTCATAAGGGATCCGTGGCGGCCATATTCTTGGTTCCTGCATCTACTGTTTGTTTTTTCGACATCAGTGAAGGGTTTATTAAGCAGGAAGTGTGGACTCATTTACACAACACTCCTTGAGAAAACCTTGTTTGGTGAAACCAGTCAGTGTAGTTGTTCTCACCTGCGTTTTTATTTTATATTTTTGAACTTTTAAAAAAAATTTTGTTATATGTATAAAAAACAAAACAAAAGGAGTGGTACAGAAAGAAGAAAAGAGGGAGAGTGAGGGGGTATCTTTCGCCCAGTCTACTTTCCGTTCCCAGCTACGTCTTGCGGGAAATCTCTTACAAAATGCTCAATGACATACTCACATCAACAACATATTATTCGTCTGTAATTTTAAGTAGCACTTGCAGTGTCGTGTAATATAGGGATAGGCATAAGGATATTGTGAATATCTCAGGGTTTATGCTAAAACTGCATAACCTTACAGTGAATACACTTGTTACAGTAATCTAAGGTTGGCATCACTTATAGTGCGTGTTCAACTGCTTTTAGCATAGTGGTTATCATCTCTACCATTAATGCATGTAGAGCAAATCATTTCACAGTGTTCTGAGCATCCCCGATATCCATGTGTTTGTGAAGCTTATCTCATACTTTCGTTGATAGTCTATTTCTGCAAATCAAGTTGCCTTATTCAGTAGTGTAGGGAATTTCCATGCTCTCACAATGAGACGTTGGGCTGTTAAAATGACCTGTATCATCAATTTTAGTTTGTATCTGTGGAAAGTCCCAAAGAAAGTATGTGATTGCTGCAAAATTTAGCGTTATTTCCTCTACCATCTTATAGACTTTTTCCCAGAATTTTTCCAGAGTTTACATTGCTACCACATGTGGATCATAGTGCCCTCAGTGAGTGGGCAACTCCAACACGTAGAGGGTAACTGGGGAAAATGGCATGTAATCTGGTCGGTACCAAGTACCACCTGTATAACACTTTGTGGTGTGGTTCGATGTCGTCAGAGGATTTAAATAGACCCAGCATGGCAGTAATCATATTTTCCCAATGCTTGGGGATATAAAGTAAGATCAGATTGCCACTGTTTGGCAGGGCTGGATTCTGAAAATAATTTTAGAACACATGGAGATTGGTTTACAATGTAGCCAGAGGCAAAATTGCCCTGGGCCCCTCTATGTGTCATTCCCCCCAACCCCTCCATGTGTCTCATTCCCTTGCCCCCAGGCCCCTCTATGTGTCACATATCCTCACCCCTGGACTCCATATGTCCCATTTCCAGCATCCCCAAGCCTCCCCATGTAACCCATTCTCTTCCCCCATTCCCTACATGTGTCCCATTCCCTCTCCCTCAGCCCTTCCATGTGTCTCCACCCTTATCCTATACTTGCTCACAGCCGTGGTATCCTATGTGACAGGAAGTGCGCTCTCAGTGAGCACTTCCTGTCAGATAGTTTAGAAGCAGCGGCAGGAGGGTTACAGCACAGCGCTCCACTCCTGCCGGTCACCTGGCAACCGCGGGCTCCAGGCCGGTGCAGCTGTGCATCAGCCCTGAAGGTATGCTGGCATCCCACGGTCACAGAGGTTGCCACTCTGGCCAGGCCCCCTGGAGTGACTGGACCGGTCTCAGTGGCGACCCCTGCGTCTGTGTAGCAGTAAATTATTATTAATATACATTAATGTAATTGC